GGAGGACTCTGTTTCATTATCCTAGAGACAATGGCTCTGATCCTGCAGTGGGCAGACCCCAGAACCTGCAGAAAGCTCAGTTGACTTCTACAGGGCTCTGCAAAGGATCATGGGTCCATATATGCGGAGTACCCACTGAAGTCAATAGATCCCACTGTAGGACTGGGCTACTGTCCTTTATGGCAATGTTTCTTTGCACCTTGCTAAAGCTGCAATTTCCAACAGCAAAGCCAGACTGGAAAAAACCCCATCCTTTCTTTGCTGTAAGAGAATGCTTGATTTGGGGATTTAACAAATAGATTTCTATCAAAAAGGGTATTATAATGAAAACCACATACTATTCTTTTGTTTTGGAAAGGGGAGACAGACACAAGTATGTTGCATTTTAGGCAGGGGAAAAAGAGGGTTTTATTTTTTAAGGACAGAATCGATGTACAGCTGAATATAGGCTGGTACAATTGTTTCAATGTCAAATTATCACTTCCATTTTTGACATAAAATATTCTGTGGAAAAGAGGTATTTTAAAAGAGGGGCTTATTGGTGAAAGATTAATTTCTTTATCAAACCTGGCTCTAAAAAGAAATTGAAATCTCAACTTGATCAAATCCATGGTGGATTCAAATGGAAGAGTAGATCAAAGTGCTCAAAAGCTGCATATCATTATGAAATCGTTGCAAAGCTTAAACATTCACATTTAGAAAAAGTTGTGGGAATAATTAGAGTTTTTCAAAAATGGAAGGATAGCAAATAAGATCTCACACAGCCCCAAGGCGCCGTGAGGGGAGCCAGGCATTCTCTAATCCTGGAAGTTTGCCCCTACTTTTGTGTCTCGTTTTTCTCATTATGAAACCCTCCTCCAGCAATGGGTCTCATTCAAACAACAACCAAGTGGGGATTTTTTTTAATAAATTCAATTAAAAATTAATTACTTCTCCCAAACCCTGATCCCTGTTTTTATTCTGTTTTAATGGCATGGATCTATTCACATAAATCTAAGTCACCCCTGCTGAAATTAAGGTTGGTAACCTTTACGAAAGGCCACATGCTTAAAACTCCTTCAAGTCAGCAGGCATTCAAGTACCTGTAACGTAAAGGCTAACATAGCCCGCTGTTAACAAAAACCAAACAAACCTAGAACAGAAAAACCAAGAGAGGAAAGCAACAAGGAGAGACTTTTGCTTGAGCACCATCTGAATTAAGAAAAAAATAAACACTGACACATTCATAGGACATGATAAAGGAGGGTTTTGTTTGCTACAGAAACTGCACAGCTCTGTACAGCACAGTTACACGTGAAGGCGTGGAGGAGAGGTGGGAGGTGAGGGTGTGAAACATGCTTAGGATCCTTCAGGAGCACTGGCTGCTAAAGTTTTCACTGTGGCTAATGCATAAAGTTCTAAACTGGCTCTGCATCCAACTTTCAGCACTCAGCGAGGAACTGAATCTCCACACATGGGCAGAGAGATCTGTGGCGATTAGCAAGGTTGGCAGTGAAATGCATTCTTTGTTAGAGAGATGGCTATGCCTTGGTAACGTTACACAGAAAAGTGCCTCATACCTATCCGAAACCAATCTGAAGTTCAGCTTTTTATAGTTGCTTCTTTAATTAGTGATCTGGAAACAGAAAGAGCCTTGAACGATATTCAGATTTAGCCCCCTTACTGTCTTTTTGCCACCCATGGAAATGACACATAAAAAGAACATAGAAGAAGAGATGCTGTCAAAGAGTTTTAGCCCAAGATTTCACCTGCTGCCCTTTAAAAATGGATAATACCCACTGCCTTTTCTTAAGAACCCATCCTACTTCTGCCAAGAAATTACATTATATAAAAGAAAAGCAGAACTCTGGGCATTATTTTTGTATAATGAACTAGCCCCCACAACCCTCAGGCACTTCTCCTACTGGCTAGAGGCCCATTACCTAGCTCCCAGAGCGAGCTCCTGAAACAGCCATGTGCTTGTCCACAAACAAAACAAACAAACTAGGAGCTGTGCTGGGCTTGTCCACTATTAGAATGACAGGACACAATGTTCACAAATGGTTGCCTTGAAGATGGGCCATATTTTAGCACCTAAATAAGAGGCCTCAAGAAAGGAGACCCAATGGGAGCAGTTGGGTGATCAGCACTTTTGAAAATCAGGCCAACAGAGTTTGGTCTCTTGCTCCCTAAGTGCAAAAATTAGAGTAAGGAAAGTTCAAAAGACCTTGGCAGTGTCCTTTATGGGGTTTGGCTCAGACTTAAACAACAGCGCCAGGAACTTGAGAACTCTGCCCCTAACTCACTGTATTGTACTTGGTTATTGCGGTTCATATGGAAAGAAAGCCACTGGTTGGAATATCCCAACAGGAGATCACGTACTAACAAACAGTAACAGTATTGTGCACTTCTATATCTTTCTGCTGAGGAGCTTATATGTTTTGCTACAAACACTAATTAAACTTCATCACCCCTCCGGGAGATAAACATTACTATGTCAATTTTACAGCAGGGTAAACTGAGGCACACAGTGATTAAGTGATTTGACCACAGCTACATGAGGAATCAGTGGCTGAGTTAGGAATAGAACCCAGTAACTCTGACACAACCACCTTCACTCTTTCTCTGGCTTCGAGAACATGCTCTCTCCATCCCCTGTGTATCAACTGTCTAGACCAGGGGTTCTCACAAAATTTTTTTTGATGGCCTCAGAGTGCGGCCCAACTCTTTCTGGTAGCTGCTCTGGAAATTTTTCCTAAAATATTTAATTAACTTTAGGAAAAAAATAAATAAATATGCACATATACATGTCCAAATCATTGCAATTTATTTATGTGTTTTTTTTTTGTTTTTTTTTTTTGCAGACTCAATAAAAATAACGTACAGTTGTCTCTATTCTTTACTGGAGCTAAACAGAATTGAAACACTAATAAGGTGCTTTGCACGTTCTTGTTTCTTTTCTTTTTTGGTTGCTTTTTTTAAAAGAGTTGCTGGCTAGTAAGTCTGCTGCTGTGAAAAGTGATGCTAGCATATTAATATCACTTTGCACACCCTCCCAGCTAGCTGCTAAGTCTGCTGTGAAAAGTGATATTAACAAACATACAAGTATCACTTTTCACAGCAGACTTACTCAGCCCTGGCAAGCCAGGGGCCAAAGTAAGCCCTGGATAGGGAGGTGGAGAGGGAGGCAAGCAGGCCAGGGGCAATAAAGGGAATGGATGGGGGGCTGGCAGAGGCAGCAGGGGCCAGGGGCAATGGGGGGTGAGCCTAGGGCCGAAGCCTACTGCTGCACAGCCAAGGGCCGAGGCTGGAGCCCACTGTAGTACAGCCTGGGGGATAGAGCCTTGTGCCCTGCACCTGGGAAATGGGGCCTGAGGATGGACCACGGGGCAGAGATGAAGCATGAAGACCCGTGCCTGAAGCCTGCTGCTCACCATCCCAAGGCTGAAGCCTGATCCCACAGCCCGCCGCAGAAAGGTAGGGAACTCACTGGCTGCCTGCTCCTCCAGCATTTGTGTCCCCAGAGTGGGACAAGGCCCAGTCCCCTCTGGTGGCTCCGGGGGAAGGGCTGCTGCTTTCCCACCTCTCCTCCAATCACCACCCAGGAGTGTGGCCGCAAGAAAAGTCCCTGGTGGCCACATTTGAAAAACACTGGTCTAGACAGAAAGGAATGAGGTAAGGAATGCTCTGCAGTGGTTTTATCTGGGGCCAAAGTCACACCTTCTTGCTGAATACCCCAGAGACATCTCGTGGAAATATGTGACAGTTAAAACAATTTATAAAAGTGCTTCTTTATCCAGTAGATTGTAATCGCTTGTTTTTAGCTTAAATCAGTGTTTTTATTTTATTCCCACAATTTAAAGATATACGTAACTAGTTCACACTATCGTGTAAATAACTGAAATGTTTCTGTTTGAAATGATAAAACCTTTTGAGAGTTATAAGGAGTACAGAAAAGTACCTGAAACTACCACATATATCTTTGGGCCAGACTCTACCTTGAGTTACCATGGGTTACATCTGGAGTAACTACTGCCATTGACAGGAATACTCCAGATGCCAACAGAACTCCAGGATGGAATCTGGCCACTTGCTTTCACTCTTACAACTACGAAATACCGAGACTGATTTGATTTTCTTCAGTGCAACTGGTTTCAGGCAAAGTCCTTGTAAGTCAAACCCTAGTCCAGAAAACACTCTTTTTTTCCTTTTAACATCAAACTACTACCTCTTCCTCCCATCCCCCTTCAAAACAAGGGGATTAAAATGGGAATGTTGATAGACCCTTAACTATTGTGACATAAATAGTGCCACCATGATACCTATTCCCCTGCACACAAGAAGAGCAACTCATGCAAACTGTAGCTTACCCATCACTGTAGCTGCTATATTTTCTTCTGCTCATAACAGGTATAAAATTAAAACAGAACTTCCAAACTCCTGCCACACCCTGATGAGAGGAGTCAGGATGATTTCTTACGAGTCACTCATAACTCAAATAGAACCTCCACCAATAAAAGGCATTGGCTTCCTCCCTTTGACTTCCATCCTATCTGTTGTGTTCTTTGTGCAAACCAGACAACTGACTAATATTTCCGAGGCAATCTTTTTTCCGCATTTAAAAAATAGGGTTTAATTATCTTTGTTTCCTAGAGGGAAGGATCTTAACTATGCTTCACTAAATGGACATTCTTCAGCTTTCCCTCTGCGCAATAGAATGGTTGATACATTTACTGTCATTGACTTGAGCAGTGAAAGAGAAAATTTAAAAAAAAAGGGCAAAAAAAAAAAAAGGCATTAAGTGAAACAATGTTTAATTTCTGTCCTGTTTGTGCTTGATTTTTTTTCTTATTTTTTTTGAAACTGCTGCAATTTCTACCTGTGAGAGCTGAACTTTTAATTTTGCAATTCTCATTCGGTTTTCCCTGCAATGATATTAAAATGCTTGTAAGAAAGCAATGGCAGCTTCGAATGCTTGTAAGAAAGGAATGGCAACTTGGAAATATTCACACCCAACACCATTTTGATTAAAGAAAGAACTCTGTTTTTAATAGTTGTGGGTTTTTTTTGATCATTAAAAAAGTTTTAACCTGCATAGCAATCATTTCAAAAATAATTATTTAATGTTCCATAATGAAACTGTACACAACCTAGTCTTGAACGACAGAAACCTGTGAGGTGGTTTGAAGCAGTCCAGCACAATGATTCCTTGGAGCCACACAACTCTGCTTTCCACTTGCATGTGGTTTTGTCCTCGGTACAGTCTGGCTCCAAGTGTCCGTGGATCTGCGCTGGGCATGGAGAACAGTTCAGTCCCCTCAGCAGGGCTCCTCAAAGTCGTTCAATGTCTCGATATTTCTTCCTCAGGATGGAGACCTGATCTTTAAAGAGGACAGGGTCAAGCCTCATCTGAGAATGGATCAGCGGCATATAGCCAAACCAGCTGGCGAAAGTGTTCATGCAGCTCTGCCGCTGGGCAAAATGATCTGGGTCAGCCCAGCGAGAAGCCCTGGAAGTCTGAATGGAGAGAAAGGAAATGCTAAGTCATCATGTCAACAACGCTGTGTAAATGGCAGGAGACAAGGTGTTACCGAGGCTGTGCTGTGAGGTGATCTCAGCACCTCATCACCTGGCTCTAAAACCTCAACATAGAGCTGACATTTGGTAAGAAATAGATACTTGGTATCTATATTTCAAGCCACATGGACCAAATTCTGACCTTAGTAACAGCTGGACAACTTATTATTACTTATTATTTGTATTGCAGTGGTGCCTAGGAGCCTGAGTCATGGACAGGGATCCCATTGTGCCAGGCACATTACAAACAGAAGAGAAAGACAGTCTCTGCCCCAAGGGGCTTACAGTCTAAGTGTAAGGCAAGATGGATACAGACAGATGGGGGAGTACAAGGAAATAATGAAACAATACTGGTCAACATGATAAGCACTGCGCAGGGCCGCCCAGAGGTGGGGGCAATTTGCCCCAGGCCCTGCAGGGGCCCCCAGGAGTATATAGTATTCTATAGTATTGCAACCTTTTCTTATGGAAGGGCCAGTGGCATAGCCAGGTGGAGTGAACAGGGGGAGCAATCGCAAAAAAGGCACCACCCACTGCGGCGCTTTTACTCACCCGGCAGCGTTTTTACTGACTGGGCGGTGCTCCGGGTCTTCGGCGGCATTTCGGCGGCGGGTCCTTCAGGGCCGCCAAATACACCCGGAGTGAGTGAAGGACGCATTGCCAAAATGCCGCCGAAGACCCGGAGCGCCGCCGGGTGAGTAAAATTTAAAAAGACGCTTAATTAATTAAAGGGCCCCTAAAATTGCTTTGCCCCAGGGCCCCTGAATCCTCTGGGCGGCCCTGGCACTGTGTGCCCTTGGCTTTGTGACTGTTAAAAGTCTTTTGGTTTATGATGATCATTAGGCTCGTTTAGAACAGAAATACCCTCGGGATAAATCCTCTGAAATACGTCAAGACATATCTCTATTTCAACCCAATTCCCGTATTATTTAGAATCTCTCTATTTCAACCCAATTCCCAGATTATTTTTGATAGCGGACAATAAAACATTATTCCCCCACGAAAAAAGCCATTTGGGGTGCAAATGTCAGAGGTAATTGTGCAACCTCCAAGCTATATTCTAACGCATGTCATCAGTGGGCACACATGGCAGCTTAAGTAGCTAGAGTGTTCATGTAAGAGCTTCAAAACAGCCCAAGGGCCCCCCAAACTAACAGCCCAATCCAAGTCTCACTGAGGTCTATGAGAGTTGGAGGAGGCCATAAAACGCCTAATTCTGGGAGTCGATGTTGGAGTCAATTTGAGTGGAGAATACTGAGCATCTCACAGGACTGAGCCCTAAGAGATGAACACTGTAACACCATTATAGTTTGTCAGGTCAAAAATCCATTTTGAGGGCCCAGTCCTGCAGCCCTTATGCACGAGTAATTCCCACCGAGTCTGAGAGTTCAGTGGAACGTCTTAGTGCAAAAACTCACTCAGGTGCGTCAGCATGATCAGGGCTTTAGAATATTGCCTACAAATAAACAGGCCCTACAGATGCTCAGAGAGCCTGGTGGATGGAGCCAGCACAATACACTTCGACAGAGAAGTAGAGGAAATAAACTGGAATCACAGAAATGATTACATTCCATCAGACCATGCTAATATAGCACTTTTCAAAATTGGTATGAAAGCCACATTTCATATTTACCTAAAATACTAATAACCTTACTTTCAGAGGTTCTGATCATCCACAACTCCCATTCAGGTCCATGGCAGCTATGGGTACTCAGCACCTCTGAAAATCAGGCCCTAAAAGCTTTGAGGGAGTTGTTATTCTCCATTGGGAAAATAATGCACCTCACTGTATGTAGGAACCCACTCAATCCAAAACAAGTCTTTGAAACAACAGACTATAAGTGTTCAGAAAATGCCATTAAAATCTATTTTGTGCCATCTCTCGTATGTTTACTTTTGTGTGTACTGCAATTTTTTTTTAAACAGCGTAAACTCAAAGTTTGTTCATTAAATGTTAAAACTGCGATAGAGTCAGGAAAACTGGCCATTTTAACTCGAACAGTAGATTCTAATGTGCACTAATCCCAGACACTTGATTATACATAATCACAACAGGGCAGGCTAGGAAAAGCGTGCTCTGGCGGATTATAGAAGACGTCCAGCCATTAGCATTGAATTTCCATATGACTATTAATCGGTGTCACAACCTTAAGGTTCTGTTATGTTAATTTTTTATTTGTCTTTTCAAGGGATTACGAACATGGACCATTCAATTCCCTGTAGCTACAGGTACAGCTTGTTTTAGGAAGACAATTGTAACTCATTTTTCGTTTACATTACCATCTCCTGCAAAGGCAAGCCTGTGTGTAGTCTGAACTGAAGAGCCAGAGTACAGCTCTGTGGACCAGTGGAACTCAAATGGGTAGCGGAAGGTACCTTCTGAATGGTGCAGACGGAGGCATTTTGGCCATGTAAGGCCCTCTTCTGGGTGCTTCAGTGAACACACCAACCAGTGGTACCTGTGGCACCAGATCACTGAATTGTTAGTACTGTCAATTGGAGCCATCGTGATGCCCTCATCCAACTCCCACCTTTCTCTTTGGTGTGCAGTATCTATGGCACTGCTGGTCTCCTTTCTTCCCTACAACACAGCAGCAGCACTGGCCATGGGCTGCCACCTGCACAGGTATGCTGGGGGCGCACTGTGTCCTCTACTCCCACGACTCACTTACGCAAGAACAGTAGAACGCCATGCTTGCCAAGTTTCTGTGTTATAAAAGGTATTCTTTTCAGGGGGCAGGATCCTTAACTAGTAGCTAGAAAAGGCAAATCTGCTCACTATGAAAACTAATTCTAAAATAAATAATTTGCCTAGGAACTACAGAGGCTACTGAGCATATTGTGTCAGCAGTGAGACAAATATAACAGCATGTGGATGGTTCTTCCTTATCTCCTTAATGAAGCAACTTAAAATAAACATTTGAAAATAACAAATTACATCTGTTGTGACCCAGTTTAAAAACACTGCTCCAGTCACATTGAAAATGCGGTATTATTTTTAAATAGCACAGAGATTTCTCTGTACATTACATTAATTAATAATCATTAAAAAAAAAACCTTTTAGAACAGCACAATAGGCTTGCACCTAAACTATTAATTAGATAATTCTCTTAACTGAAATTCAGCTGTCATGGAATCTGTTGCATGAGTTTTACATCACCATGAATAAATAAAACAATATGGGAAAATGAGGGAGACAATGTTGCATTCCACAGGCAGATATTTGCTATCTCTATTGTTGGATTTTCCTTCGGTTCATTAAAAATATTCCCAGCTCCATTTATGATTTTATCAAACAAGGAATCATGAAAAATTAAGCAGAATTTCATTCAGCCCAGAGGTTTCCTACAAAATGTGTCTGGTCTGGAAGCGAAAAGTGATTTTACCAAGACTACTCAAAGGATCAAACATGCTCTAGACACATACCTGCCCCATCATGGTCTCCTTATACTGTTTTTTCTGTGTTACTTTGATTGGAGGCAGTTTTGTCACAGCAGACACCAAAAAATTCATTAGAATGTCCTCACAATTGGCCAGTTGGTCCACCATATTCTTCAGGCTGGCAGGCAGGTAATGAGTGTACAGGTAGTGATAATATCTAGAAAGCCAACAACAGGGGCATTAATGCAAGTCTTTGCCTTACTGAGGCACATGGACACCACAGGATTTCAATCCCAGTTGAGGCCCTAACTCACTGTGTGACCAGGGGCACACCATGGGACCTTTGTTGCCTCAAACCATCAAACCAGAAAAGTGGGGAGGAAAAAGCAGGATGATACCATGAAACTAAGCTATTAGGGATACAAGAATTAAAAACTCCACTGGGCCTTTTACAATTAGTGGGAGAGAGACAGGGTTGACTTTAAATCTTAAGCAAGATAATGCAAGACTAGAATTCGGACTAGCCCATGTGCATTGTCGTAGCCAAGGTGGGTAACTGTAAGGAAGAGCATGCGGAGGCAAGAAAAATCAGCAGGTGTGGTTGGAGAGAAAATGGAATATGGCCTAATAAGGCCCTCACAACTGCAGTTCAGATGATTTTGTTGTGGACCTAAATAAATCTAGATCCCTCTTTAACCGGTGCCTACTTCCTCCTTTGTGGGGAGTGGATCAGATACAGCAGCATAATATGACTTTATTAAAGGCTAAGAGAGGCCTCCTATCTACCCTGCTCTACTGAAGTGTCAGTGATGTGAATTCTCTCCAATATACTGTGCCTGAACTGCAAAGGTGTCACGACACTAAAGATTCAAGTGTGGCTGGAAGAGTTAGCCATGACAGTCAGCTACCACAAACCCAGAGTCAGTCGGGCAGCAATCTTCACTCCTCTGCACTACAAGCCATTTGGCCCAGGAGTTTAATAAATTTGGGGCTTCTTTGAAGGGCATAATTCCTGATATTAAAAAGAGCAGTTAGACTTCCTCAAAATACAAGTGACTTCAAAAGAGATCCAGGGAACACAGTTATGATTACCAGATCCCCAGAGCCAAACTGGGAATTTAAATCATTACCCTATAAACAGAGGAGAGCTCCATCTATTCTCTACCTATGTTTCCAATAGGACCCCCCGCCCCTTTTTTTTGGAGGGGAGACAAGAGTTCCTTTTTGGGGGGGCGGGAATGATAAGATTTTCATTCCGTCTTTCGGTCAGGAACAAATTTATTCACCACCTTTAATCAAATAAATAAATAAAAAATAAAATAATAATAAAGACAAAGATGCTTTGGTTTCTTACTTGTGGTAAATAGCAGCTCCTGTCAATACCATGGAATAGTCATTAGTCCATTTGGATGTATAGCCCCATCTCTCCTTAGTATTATCCCAAAAGTGACTGCGAGCGGGGTACCCTACAATCCTCTCCGGAAAACTCTGCCATACTGTAAATGCAAAATCCACCTGCAGGCAAAGACACATGCCAAATGAATAATCAAACTGTTTCAGTAATTGTCAACAAAACAAAATATTATCTTGCCGCTAATTCATAATTCAAAATCTTCAAACTGTTGCAAAACATTAATTCGGTGTATTCATCAGTAAATTAAAGTGACTGCTTGACATTTTGCCCTATAATTATGCACATTTTAATTTTTTCTGTTAAAGAAACTCTAGAGCACTGCAGCATTACATTAACATTTTGCAGGCATGCCCTTTACAATTCAAACCTTTCCAAACAGAATGGTATGTGTGTGTGTGAATTTATACTTCTATGCCAGGGATGGCCAAACTTACTGCATACGACAATCTTCAGAAGTTCGAGAGCCAGGGCGCCACTGCCAGGCCTCGGGGCTTCAGCCCTGCAGCAAGGTGGTGGGGCTGAGGGCTTTTGCCCTGCAGAGTCAGGGCGTCTCAGGGCTTCAGACCTGTGGGGCGCACCTGCCGGGGCTCTGGGCTTCAGCCCCACGACCCCTGGCAGGCACCTTCTGTGGCACTGAAGTCCCAAGACCCCCCTCCCTGCTGGCATAAGTGCTGGAACTAGGAGTTTGGGGGGTGCTACCCCACCCCCTGCTTGAAGTGGTTTCAATTATATACAGGGTTTATAGTTTGGTTAAATGACTCTCAGCAGCCTCACTATAAAAATTATTCCAGCGCCCCTGCCTGCTGGGCAGAAGGCTCCCATCCCCTCCACCCCACTGCAGGGCAAAAGCTCCTTGTCCCACCATGCCGCTGCAGGGCAGAAGCCCCGAGCTCCCGCAAACAGTCTGGTAGGCCGAGAATGGGGAGAGTATGGAGGGCGTCAAGAGACCACTTTAACTGTAAAAGAGCCGCATGCAGCTCACGAGCCACAGCTTGGCCACCCCTGTTCTATTCTATAGCATATCCCCTCATCCTGCACCTTTAAGCAGCTCATCTATACTCTGAGCATGAATTCAATGTTATCAACCCGAAGCATTTTAAAATCATACGTCAGGTCCTCCAAACACAATGAGATTCGCTCAAAAATCACGGTGGTTTTTATTTTAAATAATAAATGTGGGGTTCTATCTATTTTCCTTCTGGCTTTTCAGCTTTTACGATATACTTGCGTCATGTTTTTAAGTTTTTCTTTGCAGCCATGAGGGGCAGAAACTTACTAAAAATGGATGAGATTCTCATGTAGTTAACATGACTCCAGGAACTGGGGCTTTATGAAACATACTTTATCAGCAGCTTCATGATAAAATTGTGAGAGCTGGCAACATTGCTAATTTCTCTTTAATATCCCGACCTGTGAGGACAAAAAAGGGGTTGCAGGAGTTCGGGAAGCCCATCAAGAAAAAGAAGGGGAGCAAAAACCAACTATAAATACCGAGGCCAAAACCATGCAAAGCTACTGAGAGCTACACCTCAGTTCCACACTGATACCTGAACTTCAGCCTAGACCAAGGGTGGGCAAACTTTTTGGCCGGAGGGTCACATCTGGGTGGGGAAATTGCATGCAGGGCCCATGAATGTAGGGCTGGGGTAGGGGGTTGGGGTGCAGAGGAAGGGACTCAGGGCAGGGGGTTGGGTGCAGGAGGGGTGCGGCAGGGGGTTCAGGGAGGGGGGTTGGGGTGCGGGGTGTAGGTAGGGTTCGGGGTGCAGGCCCTGACCTGGCACCACTTACCTTGAGTCGCTCCGGGGTGGCAGCAGCACACAGCATGACCCTGCTGCCCCTTGCCTGCGGATACCTCCCCCCGAAGCTCCCATTGGCCGTGGTTCCCCGTTCCTGGCCACTGGGAGCTACGGGGGGAAGTGCCTGCAGGCGAGGGTAGCACGCAGAGCTCTCTGCCCCCCAAGCTTCCCCCCCGGGGCCGCAGGGACGTGGTTTTGGCCGCTTCCGGGAGCGGCACAGGGCCAGGGCAGGCAGGGAGCGTGCTTTAGCCCCATGGCACCATGGGGGTGGCAATCCCGCAGGCCGGATCCAAAGCCCTGAGAGGCCAGTTTGCCCACCCCTGACCAAGACTCAGACAAAACTTTGCTCAAAAATCCTCTCAATGAACCTTTCAGCAAACATGACCAGAGTTTCACGTTTGTGCTGTTAAGGAGTCACAGATATTTCATCTTTAACACAGTAACACTTCTCTTACAACAGTTACATTTCCTTGTAATTATTGCCAGAGCTTTTTCATTTACAAATTATTGTGTGAAAGAGAAGAGACACAAACGTATTGGTACATGCAGTTAGAGGCATAATCTATTCTTTCATGTTGTTTGCAGGAACTTGAATCAAATGGAAAGCCAATGCAGCTAAAGTAGTTAATTCTTGTGATAATGATTTGGATGAGATCTGAACTAACACATCAAAGTACTAACGTTGATCTTAAGGCCCTTTCCTGTAAAACCTGACATCTGTTTTCTTTAGATGAGTTTGAGAATCTCAGGTTAAGAAAAACAAAAATAAACCATCTACAAGTACCGACTACTACTACTAACCCAGCTCATGTCCTCGCTCATGTATTGTTTTAATATCTGTCCTTGTAATAGACAGAAGCATTAAAACAAGCTGAGCTCCCTAGGAGAAGATGAGCCACAGTTTATCCCCTTAAAACACTCCTTGTCCTAGATAATTTTAAGCAGCATTACCACTCAGCTGATCAGCGGGAAAAGCAACGAGTCACTTCAATCCCTGTATCATTCCCAACCCATACTGATTTCTAATTGCTTCCCATACAAATATCCCTCCAAGCAGCACTTTTGGGCTGCTACCCTTGGAAATGAAAACAATAGACATTACGCTTCATTTCATTATGAACGAAAAACCTTTATTAACGCTAGAGCTGAGCAAAGAGTGGAGAACGTGTTTGGTGAATATTCATTCACACTTGAAATGTCAGCTTGACCGTGCTTGGGAATTTTTTTGTTTGCTTTCCCTAGGATGAACACTTGTGAAAAGTGGATTTTAAGTGCAAATGTTAGCTGAAAGGGAATTCTGAACTCAACAATTCAACTACGTTTGAAATGCAGTTTAGGTTTATTTACATCAGCCATCCAGTCAGGGAACAGAAGCAATATCAAGGCCCTGGTCCAAAAAAGAAAACTATGTAGTAAGTCCCTGCCCCCACGTGCAGTCCCACTGAAGTGGATGGGGTTCTACCTAGGCTCAGAGGCCTGCCCACATATTTCCCATTGCAGGACGAGGGCCCAACTGATGTACGGCGCTAACACACACAGACAGACACACACTATTTTGAATATTTGCAGCAAATTACTCAGAGCAGTGAAAATGCTACAAAGAAATTCACAATTCATTTCACAAAACAAACAAACATTAAAATTCTGCCACCTCTTTAACATAAAAAGGGGCCAAATTCAGTGAAAAAAAAGTTGCCCATTATTTGCTTTGTGTAACCAAAAAAAGGGTGTAATGACTAAGATTACAACCACTAAAATGTGTGTGTGGTGGGGGGGAAATGATGGGAATAACAAAGTGGGCTCCTGTAGTACCTTGCAGGAGACTCTGGGTAAAATCCTGGCCCCAAACAAAATCAAAGTTTTGCCATTGACTTCAACAGGGCTGGGATTTCACCTTGTCTTGAGCCGCGGGCCAGTGCAAGGAGTCTTCCTTGGAGAACTCTGGACTTTGCCCATGTTATCTCACAGAGGCTGCGTTCTTCCCAATCTGGCAGGAATGGCCCAGGTGTGGCCTGAGGGCCAATGCTGCCCTCTTCTACAATACACAGTGCAGCACATGGGGACTACCGTGGATCAGCTGAAGGGCTGAATGCTGGGACTAGTAGTTCCATACTGGCAAGGAGAGTCTCTGAGGTAAATTATGTGTGGTCTTAGGGCTTATAGCAAGCTGCCAATGCAATACTCAGTCTGGCAAAACTTGGGCATACCTGCCCTAACGTAAGGTGTAATGGGATCATCTAAAGGGCTACGACTATTGACAATAGTAAGAGCAGCATTGTGGGGCGAAGTGGGGAGAAAGAAATGGTTCTGGATATGATGAAGGAGGGGGAAAGGAATAGAAGACTGAGAAGAAAATCAAGTCTCTAAGCTTTTCAATAGCCACCATTAATAATGTATTTCCTATGTATTGTGCTTCTATATAAACAGTCATTAGTCTCCTCTGTGGTTTTCAGGACAAGGTTCCAGAAATCAATACTCATCCCAGTTGTAAAAATTGGTTTTTTACAGAATCTTTCCTTTCTCTCCTTTTTTTTTTTTTTAGTGCAATCTTGCTTTGGGCACAAATGCCGGAATGTCTCAACCATCATGTATCTCTAGCTCTACGGTACAGTGATACTGTTAGCGTATTGTGTGTGTGGAGGAGAAAATCAAAACACTTGTACCCAGGCAGAAATACTGCCTTTGAAGCAGAAATAATGTCCCATCGTTGAAGCTAATGTGTGGGAAAGGGAGGAACCACAATCAGCACAGCGGAAAGGTAATGCTAAAACAGACTGCTGTTAGCTGTCCACACCTGCCTATGGTACTAAAATGATAAAGAAGGGAAGAACCACATGCTAACGATGCCAATTAACCATGAAAAAATCCTCTCCTGCTGGCAGGTGGCGGCAAGATTTTTGAGACAAATGCAATACATTAAGCCTGGGGTGTGAGTGGGAAATATTATAAAGACACACACTCTGGCAAACAGGTCCAAAGAACAAGGGTGGGCATCAGGCTGGAAAAGCCAGAGAGATTTCAAGAGGATGGGTCTTACCTCGGTGGTTGAAAGCACGGTGTCCTCGTCAAGGCTTAGCACAGCATCTGTGATTATGTTGTCATAAGGTAGGAAGCGACTGCTCATAACCTGTGGGTTTCAAAGAGAGAGGGGAGAGGGAAATAACTTGAGACACTCATTTCCAAGGGAAGGGGAAAATAACCCTTCTGCATATTCTATTTTACTCTTCATTCTTATTTCGTCTGTGGCACATCGTACATCTTTATCTGATAGGAAGGATTTCTCAGCTCAAGGGTGAAAGGCTGTCATTTTCCATCAGCCCAGCAGTCAGCTTATACCTTGTACCTGAGGAATTAATTTCTGAGCAGATCTGTCTCTCTTGAGCAGGCTGCCTTCCTCCAAAACCCAGACTGTAACTGCATCTGCTGAGAATTAGACAGATGTAAGGTTCTTCATGGCTGACACCTGTCTGGCAGCTAGAGTTGTCCCTCACCTCCCCCTCTCTCCCACTCCATTCCACTCTAAAATGAAGTGCTCAGAGAGACCTTGCACCTTTGATAGAGCCATTCTGTTGGCAAGCTAATGACCCCACCTTGCATCCCAGACCTTGTCTACACACAAAAGTTGTACAGATTTAACTGTAATGGTATAGTTGAAGCGGTATGACCCTCCATGTGTGGATGCAATTATACTGGTATAAAAGTGTTTATACAGGTATAGCTATTCCTGTATGGGAAGGAGAATAAGCTATAGAGGTAATAAGGCATTTTTATACGGGTATAACTGCATCCACAGTAGGCATTATACAGGTATAAAATTGGTGTGTAGATCATGTTTTTATGCTAACCTGGGATATGTCTCAGTGTAATGGGAACTAGATGCGAGAGGAGGAAAAAAGAAGATGACAACAAAAAAGGGGAATCTATTTAGGTAATTTTTGGTCTGCATTACCAATGAGATCTAAGCTTCTTTTGAGTACTGAAAAATGGATATAAGAACACTACACACGCATTCTCTCTCCCCCGCTCCTTTTCCAGCCTGTAGGAAAAATTGCTTGATTAGTTTATAGACTGTGTGTGTGAGAGAGAGAGAGAGAGAGAGAGAGAGAGAGAGAGGGTATATTGTATGTGCCTAACTCTAACAAAAACCCGCGGGGCCTGTCTCTTTATTATACTTTGGCAACACTTGTACAGCTTGTCATGCCAATAAAGCATTATTGAGCCGCATTGTATGTGAAGAAATCATCGAGTAAAAACTAAGATGAAGAAATGAGTTTTGCACTTAGCTGTGAAAGCTGATAGTGAGCTCATGTGGAAGTGAGTTCCACAGTCCTGGGCTAGTTCCTGTGAAAGCTCTGTCTTCTACACAACTGTCACTGTTTGGGTGGAACTTAGCTGTCATTGAGGTCATGATTGCGGAGGAAAGGATAGTCTGATAGGTAGCCATAGTTATTCCTGTGGAGGGCTATCAATAACAGAACAGAGTTCAAATTTGGCTCTGTGTTCAGCGGGAAACCAGTACAGAAAGTAAAAGAGAGAAGATTGGTTTCCGTAGAGGATTTCTAATTGGCACTAATATATGAAGAAAAATAATTCAATCAGGGGGAAGAGGGGAACGACAATCCCATGCAATTAAATATTTACACTGTTCGTATAGTGAAAGAACAGAAGAAGTCAGGAAATCAGAGTTCTGTTTCTGACTCTTTTACACACTTACTATGTGAGCTTGGACTAGCCACTAATTTTTATCTTTTATCTGTATCCAAGATGAGCCAGCTGTAAAATGGGTGCAATAATGCTTCTCTGTTTCACAGTAGTGTTATGAGGCTTAAAGTGCTTTGGGATCCTTGGATGGAAGGCCCTAGAGAAATGCCAACTATGAAAATTAAGTCCTTTGTTAGACCTTTGGAGTGCACGGAGCAGCTCAGCAAGACTTGTGAAAACAAAAAGCTTTTCTGTTTCAGAAGCCATTTGGTACGTGATGTGATATTAGAAAGGAGAGACTGTCCACCATAAACACATTTTTGGGAACTTAGGAGATAGGTTTGTAAATTAAACAGCTCCCAGGACAGTTTCTTCATATGCTTAGAACTGGCCTGGGTGGTCTCCCCAAACCCCACTCCCCAGCCCCAGGCAATTCACAAAGTATGAAAATAGAGGGGAAAAGTCCATAATGTTTGCAATGCTCAGAAATCCCCAAGCAGCAGCAGCCTCTCTTAGCCATGCAGCAATTCTCTTGACCCTGTTTACATGTCCTGTGACTAAGGCAGAACTATTAGCTGTCAGCTTAGCAGTGCCCTGACTTTCCCCTTGTTAAGCCTACTGGGGAAAAGAGCAAAGACAAGGCATAAAAATTCACAATAGGATTTTACACCCAAAGCAGCTAAAACGTCCCACTGTGAATTCAGGGGAAGAGAAAGATGATAAAAATCACAGACTGGCCCAACTCGGATGCCTCGGCTCTGACTTCCAGCATTGGCATTAAAGAGAGATGATGAAGAATGGGCCTGATTCTCTACTCCATGCCAATGCTCTGGGTGTATCATTGGCATGAGTGCAAAGCAGGCACAAAATGCCACTATTCTCACTTGGTAACATTTTACCCCCACTTTGCACTTGCGCCTGTGACTACGCACAGGGGAGGGCATCAGAGTACCTGGCCCAATGGCAGAATTTTTTTTCTCTCCCCCTTTGCTGTCTTCTCTTGACCAGTCAACTGTGCTTGGATCCCACTCGGTTCCCAGGCTGTGCATATCTCCCCACGCTCTCCTTGTGAGCACCCTAATGTCCTTGTTGACAGCCATACAAGCCATAAAAGCAGCTATTTCTCACAAGTTGCTGGAGAACACACTTGCCAATTTCTCTGGGAGCCTAATTTCCAAATCTGAACACAGATGAAGGGTCCTCAAATCCTGCATCAGAACGCTCAGACTAGCATTTGGGAGCATTATTAATTTAATGCTCCTGCCTGCTGACAGGCATGCAAGATTAGCACCTCCTCTCTAGGTGGCCACATTTGAAAATTCAGTCCCTTATGCCATTCTCAGACTAGCAGTATTGATTGCCACCTTGATCAACAGCTGACATGTGATGAAAGGACAAAATTTCACGCACTGAACTTTCATTAGAATGATGAGTCTGCAATCAGATTGGTACAAAAGGCAGTGATAAAGGAAGGGGCATCACCCACCTGCTCACCACTAAACATTCGCCAGCTGGAGAAGTAAGTACCCAGTCCCATTGCACCATGCTTGCAATCTTTGACAGTTATTCTCTCCACCTACCTTGCTTTCCCCTTCAATGACTATGACAGGCACAGGAGTGGCAGGCCAGCGGTGTTTGGCTGGGAGGGGTTTATCACAATTCCATAAAACAATGATCTGAAAGGAAGATTGACCTATGGTGTTAGACACACATGGGTATACTTATGCCTGTAGCATTCAAGCCTGGAGGACCCTGAGCACCAAATGGATTCAATTTAGGACAGTGGTTCTCAAACTTTTGAACTGGTGACCCCTTTCACATAGAAAGCCTCTGAGTGCGACCCCCCCCTTATAAATTGAAAACACTTTTTTATATGTTTAAAACCATTATAAATGCTGGAGGCAAAGCGGGGTTTAGGGTGGAGGCTGACAGCTCATGCCCCTCCCCCCATGTAATAACCTCATGACCCCCTGAGGGGTCCCGACCCCCAGTTTGAGAACCCCTGGTTTAGGAGTTTCAAAAAAGGCAACATGATCAAATTAATATCAAGTTGGTATAAAAATAACATCCCCCAGCTACTCACCCACCCTGACAATAAATTCTACATCCCCTCAATCAAACACCATCTGAACAGAAAACCAGAGAGTCTCTAGCCTCACTCAGAAGGGTGTCACTGGTTTACTTGGGCACTTGTTAAAGGCTAAAACACTCATGGACTCTTCGAAGTAGAGGGCAGTCCTACTGCCTTCTTGAGATAGTATCACCGGGCAGTGAGAAGTCCAAATGCTGCTGAGATAAAGGGAGGTAAGGCAGACAATAAGCCTTTAGGCCTATTGACTTTTTTGTTATTTACATCATATATACCCTAGTCTTAAAGCAAAGCTGTTATTTTACCTTTCTTCCCAAAATAAATCAGAGTTGTGATCATCTGTTTTCCACTTTTATTAAAGTTCAGAGTTTTTATTCCCCACACATGCTGGTTAAGGTCTCTGCGATCTCAGAGACAATGAGGATCAAAGTTTAAAACAGCAAATTTGAAACGAGAAGGCGGAGTGACAAGACCTGAAGTCAGTGGGGGTTTTGTTTGTGTGATGGCTTTGGCTCAAAAGTGATTGACAGTCAAACAGCAGGGCTCACCTGTGCACAGTACTGGGACTTGGCTACAGCAACCAGGAGTTTCAGCACAGGCTGAGATTGGGAAACCAAGGGAGTTACTGCATGGATAACGGCAGTGAACTTGGAGGGGGGCTTGAGACCTAAAATGAAAAATGGATGCAAGTTGAATATAGACCAAGTTGCCTTGTGTAGTATAAATCAAAGAATCAGAGACGAAAAAAGACCATTTAAGAACAAAGGAAATACCATGTTGGATCAGACCATCTATCTCATCCAGTATCCTGTCGCTACAGTACCAGATGCTCCAGAAGAGGGTGCACTCCTTTGCATAAAACTTCCTAGCTCTCTGAAAGCACTGTCTGTATTACAACCACTGCTTTGATATCTTTTCCTCTGATTCCCTCCTGGATGTCCTGCAATCTGGGTTTCTCCCCTTTTGCTCCACAGAAATTACCCTTGCCAAGTTCATCAGTTAAGTTCTCCTGGCCAAGCCTAAGGGCTTCTTCCCTCATCTTCATGCTTCCGGATTTCTCTGTTGACACTGATACGACTCATTACCCCCTCCCCCTTCAACTTCCTGACAGACGCTGGCTTCTTGGTGCTCTCTTCCTTCCTCTCCAATAGCTCCATCAACATCTCCAATGGTGCTTCTTTCTCCCCTCTGTTTCAGCATCTCTCAAAGTCACGTCCTTTGTCCTCTCCTTTTTCCTCTACATCCTTCCCAAGGGCGACTTCATCCACACACAAAGCTTCAGCTATCATCTCTGAGTTGATGACTAACTATTCTGCCTGCCCACTGAAGAACAATCCCCCCTCCATCCATACTTGTGAGCCTGCAAGTCTCTGTGATATATGATTCCAGTCATCCTTCCACCAGCTCATATACTTCCTCCCTTCACTACTGCTGCAAATACCATTCTCCTTCCACCTCACCCAGGCCCACAACCTTGGTGGCACAGTCATCTTTCTCCTCCCTAATTGGAAGTGTTGTTGAATCCTCTTAGTTCTTCTTCCACAACAACTCAATGTCCAACTTTTCCTTTTACACTGTAACAGTGGTTCTTTGAGCAGCCTGTCACACCTTTGCTGCTGGCACCAGAACTGGAACCCTGGTAAGCAGTGACTGTTGAGGCTGCAGGCATGTTCCCTTGCAGAATTCAACATTCAGTCTTTGCATAAAGGAGCCAATGATCAAACTTTCTCAGTTCCTCCCACTCAATCAGAATCCAAACAGAGACTCTAAAGAAGTAAGGCTGGATCATTATTGACAAGCAACTCAGACAACCACCATTCTTTGTGAATAACTTCTGTTGTCTCCAAGTATTGTCAAGCTGAGCTAAGCAACGAATGCAAACCAGTGTTGCCATGAAGTTGCCAGCTACTGATCTGCAACATAATGATAACCAGAAAGCGCAGGGAGGACATGGATTTGTTCCAATATTCTTTGTAAGTGGCAGCTATTAGAGGGGTGACATGATATCCTGTATTTATGCAGGTCAGTCAATGACATTCCATCTAGCAGGGGGCAGTGGTTCTCAAGCAGGGGTAGGTATATCCCTGGGGGTACACAGAGGTCTTCCGGGGGTAACTAGTTTTACAACAGGCCATGTAAAAAGCACTAGTGAAGTACAAACTAAAATTTCATAGACAATGACTTGTTTATTCTGCTGTATATACTATACAATGAAAGGTAAGTACAATATTTATATTCCAATTGATTTATTTTATAAGTATATGGTAAAATGAGAATGTAAACAATTTTTCAGTAATAGGGGCTGTGACACTTCTGTATTTTTATGTCTGATTTTTAAGCAAGTAATTTTTAAGTGAGGTGAAACTTGGGGTACGCAAGACAAATTAGACTCCCGAAAGGGATACAGTAGTCTGGAAAGGTTGAAAGCCACTGTTTTGGAGGACAGGATAAACAAGAATACCATTAACTAGATTTTCTGGTGAGCCACTTACAACACACCATCCAGAAATCAACAATACCCCAATATGTGTGAGGTTCAGAAGCAAGGATTCACTCACCTAGATTAGCATAGTAGTAAGGAAAATCTCCCAGATACGAGGAATACTGTGGCAATACGAATAACCCTCCAGGATGTTTGTTCCATATTAAACTGTTACGTGATATGTGCTTAAATATTCTGTCCTGAATAATCTGGAAAATAAGAAAGGTAGTGATTTGTAAATAGGTTGTAATGGCCATTGGTAGAGTCTTCAGCAACTCTGACAGACTGCAATCGCTACACATTTTGTAGAAAGCAGCGAGACACAAATTACTTGGCATTCCTGTTTAATCTCTTTTAAAAACGACACTGAACCTATACACTTGTGCACATTCTCGGCAGTTTGAGGCCTTGGATAACAGTATTCAAACTATCTCATTAGTCTCTGCGGACATAGGGATCTCGCAATTCATTACATTCTGCATTTAAAGTGAAATATTTTTCCATCTAAAATCACTTGTCAGTTGCAAGCCTGATTAGTTCATTCTAGAGTTTACCATCCATGACTTGCATAAAATAATGAGTCAAGAATGGAATTACAACAGATGGATGTTATTTTGAGATAATGAAAACTTTTAAATACACAAAGACAGACTTCCAAGCCAAACAGGCTGGGCTGATATTTCTCCCTTTACTTTACAATAAAGTTATTATGTGACAAAGTGACTAATTATATCAGATCCCATACACATTTTACAGAGGACTGTCCGCCACGGTGTGGTTCCAAAAGTTCCGATTTCATCCAGCATGGAAAGAAATTTGGGCAACTACTAGTGCAAGCTTTTTGGAGCAGGGAAAAGATGTGTGTCTTTGAAAGGGCCATGAGATGATCTAGTCTTACTTCCTGTGTAACACAGTCTATAGAATAACATTAACAGTGCGATATGTTTGCGATGATAAAACTAATCCTATATACTCAAGGTGTAGGCACACAAAATTTGAAAGCAAAGTCTACATGTGTAGGAAGAGCTATTGATTGAGTTCGCTGTAGAGGTAAGGAGCCTCCAAGAGCAGGAGGGTAATGTGACATTAGGGTGATACAGCATGTGAATGAAGGCTGTCCCAAATGGTCATTTCCTAAAATGTGTGATTACATGGGAAATTCACAGGGACAATCTTAACATCAAACCAGCAGCACTTTTCACGTAAGAACAGAGGACTCAAGGCTGTGATGTTATACTCTCAAGTGCATCTCTACCTATTTCTGTTAATAGATATAAAGTTACATGCTTCAGCCATGGGTGTTTTGTGTGGGAAGGTGGGAGAAAGGCAGTGACTGCCTTCTCCCCTCCTTTAATTTATGCCAATGAACATAGCAAGAAACTAGACAATGCAGAGAGAAACGAGAAAATGCACATCTTTTACCATCTGATGAAGAACTAGATGAACTAGCTCCTCTGGCCCTCCCCCATCCCATTTTCTCAGAACTGATACATAAATAGTATGTATAGTATATAGTATAATAGTATAGTGGTAGTCTGCAGGTTTATATGATAAGTAGGTATTCATAGACTGTACAATTTTCCACTGCTCTGGTAGCCGACAATGCCTCAGGGGAAACACATGGCTCACATTTGATGATCTTTCCATGTACACAAAGCAAAAAATAGTTTAATCTTGAAACAAACTTCTGATGTCATGCAACATATGCAACCTTTATTGCATGTGAGGCATACAAATCTCACTGATACTGTTACTCCATAGGCTAGGAAGCCAACCTGTGGAATAACTCACATTTAACGGAGGGCAGATGAATGTATGGCACTTCTGGCAAATACAAGAATCCTTGCAGCCTACAAGAATGGTGTGGAGAAAAGAAAACTCGAAGGAAAGGAAATAGAAAAGGAGGAAAGGAATCCATGAAGAGCTAAATCAATTCAAATACAAAAAGCATATGGTAATTTGCTAAATGTCTTGCAGAGATTTCTAAATACCGGCACCAGCTTTTGAGGCTCTCTGGTGATTGTGGAACATGGGCAGTTTTATAATGAGGAGGTTAGGCACTCCGGCTGGATAGAATCATAGAATCATAGAATATCAGGGTTGGAAGGGACCTCAGGAGGTCATCTAGTCCAATCCCCTGCTCAAAGCAGGACTGATCCCCGACTAAATCATCCCAGCCAGGGCTTTGTCAAGCCTGACCTTAAAAACTTCTAGGGAAGGAGATTCCACCACCTCCCTAGGTAATGCATTCCAGTGTTTCACCACCCTCCTAGTGAAAAAGGTTTTCCTAATATCCAACCTAAATCTCCCCCACTGCAACTTCAGACCATTACTCCTTGTTCTGTCATCTGCTACCACTGAGAACAGTCTAGAGCCATCCTCTTTGGAACCCCCTTTCAGGTAGTTGAAAGCAGCTATCAAATCCCCCCTCATTCTTCTCTCTGAAGACTAAACATCCCCAGTTCCCTCAGCCTCTCCTCATAACTCGTGTGTTCCAGTCCCCTAATCATTTTTGTTGCCCTCCGCTGGACTCTTTCCATTTTTTCCACATCCTTCTTGTAGTGTGGGGCACAAAACTGGACACAGTACTCCAGATGAGGCCTCACCAATGTCGAATAGAGGGGAATGATCACGTCCCTCGATCTGCTGGCAATGCCCCTACTTATACATCTCAAAATGCCATTGGCCTTCTTGGCAACAAGGGCACACTGTTGACTCATATCCAACTTCTCGTCCACTGTCACCCCTAGGTCCTTTTCCGCAGAACTGCTGCCTAGCCATTCGGTCCCTAGTCTGTAGCGGTGCATGGGATTCTTCCGTCCTAAGTGCAGGACCCTGCACTTATCCTTGTTGAACCTCATCAGATTTCTTTTGGCCCAATCCTCCAATTTGTCTAGGTCCCTCTGTATCCTATCCCTACCTGTCATGTCTACATGGAATATGTTGCTGGAACAATATTTTGGCCCCCGCCTTATCAGATTATTCTGTCTTATACAGGTTCATCGCTGTAGTGTCTGAGTGCCTTCCAGTAGTGCACTAAATGTCTGTCACATGTGGTTATTCTCTCTCACTTCTCCTATTCCCAGGGGAGAACTGTGTAAACTGTGTAGGGCTAGTTTCTGTTTCTTAAATTTCTATGAGGCTCTGTGTTGCAATTGGAGAAGGGAGGTTGAAGAAGTGCACCTTGCACTTGGAGCAGAGGATGAGGAGTTTTGCAATAGTCCTTCCTCCCATCCCCCCACGGTGTCAGCCCAGCCCCCAGAGAAAGCTGTCACCTGCACAGCCAAGCTTTGCCCTCGAGGCACAAAGGTCCATGGCACTCCAGAGCCATGCAGTTAGTCACCAAGGGTTTCATCCTGGAGCTTTTGGTGATGATATGCGGGGTGGAGGCCATTGAACATCCTGAAGATAAGACCTTCACAACTTTGAACTTGAGTTGATATTCTACAGGAAGCCAGTATAGAGAGCAGTGGACAGGTCTCATGTGCTCATGGTAGCCCATGTTGCTGAGGAGACATGCTGCAGCATTCTATACCCTTTGAAATTTCCTAAGGGCTGATGGCTTCATGCCCAGATATATCGCACTGCTGTAGTCCAGACAGGAGGTGACTAAATGATATGTAGGATCATCAAGATATTGCAATACTACGGCATTATAGTTAGAGACTGAAAGTAACTACCAGAATAAATTCTTTCCCTCTCCACTATACGATTTACTCTCCCCACATCAAATTTTAAGCAGAGGACACATTTGATCTTACCAACTTCTGATACCTAAATAAAAAACAAACCTTTTATTTTCTCTCTTTCGGAAAGAAAACAATTCAGGCTTTTCTGGTGATTGTTGGACTCTGGAACAAGCACCTGAGCATGCATGTTATTTTCCACTGAACAGAATTATTGTTAATTTGCCTTCTCTACATAGAAGTGGTTCTGTGAGATTGCTTATCCTGGATTCAAAAAACAAAAGGTACGATATGCCTGACTTGGTTTCATTAAATTAAAACCTTGCAGCTCCTGCCCTGTTCTATCCTCAGAGTCTTCCTTGCTCAAGCTTCTTAGTTGGTATCTTCCAAATCCTAGCTACAATTGTTACTAACCATCCCTTAGTCAACTGACAACTATGGCCACATTATTGAAGATGTTTCAATTCAGCCCTAAAGTTGCACTCGAGGGCCTTGCGGACAGATTCTGTAAATAAAACAAAGGGAGCTGGGGATACCCCAATTGCAGGAGAGATCACAGTGAGTAAAGAACCAGTGTATACTTCCTTCTCTACAACCCTCACTGGTGTAAGGAGGAAGAATGGCTGGAGTACAGTGGGCTCTGGCTGTCCACAGCTGGACTCCTATGCATAATTTGGGCTTTCTTCTGTATGTCACCTTCTATCTCTCCTTGGAAATGCACACATTTGATAAGTCTCAGGTGACTTACAAGCTGCCACTTCCAGAACAAGAGACCTGTGAACGGGCATCAAAACGTTAAGGGGGAATTGGAGAAAGGGGGCTTTTCAATTATATTTTTTCCAGAATGAGTTCTAATAAGGTCCTTTAAAGGACCACATTCACTATGAATGACAGGAATACTGATTCATTAGCCATAAGAAACTTGAGAAACTGTGATGGCACAAGACAACTTTTCCATGTGTCGGATGGCTCCTATTTGTCACCATGTCAGTTTTCTTATGTGGATTCAAATAATGAAGAAAATATTTCCTTAGGGGAGAAAAGTTATCAAGCTGCTGAAGGTTTTTCCAGTGACCAATCACATGTCACGAAAGCCAAGGTCACACATATAACAGCTCAGCACGGAGTGTGGCAGACATATTAAGGAACATCTCTGCTCTGACTAATATCTGAGAATTGTTACTCACCTCTAGTGTGGTCAATACAATCTTCTCAACTGAAGAAAAATAAGCCTCCCACAAGAACTGTGTCTGCTGTCTAAGTGCTAGGATTTTATCCTGATGGATAGACCTGATTGTAGAAGGAATCTGTAAGACAAGGTGCACTACAATCAGATGGTGTGGAAAACAATGTAACCTGATCAAATTAATACACACTTGAGAACCCCAAACTAGCATTCTCTGCTCCTACCCAGCAACACAGATTCAGTGTCAGCCAGTACCCCCACCCGACACAGATATGTGAATTAACAGCTAAAGAACAGCGACTGGAAAATGAATGAGCGGCACCCTTTGTGACCTTTGGTATTTGAGCCTATTGGCCAACCTTAGGATTTACTAGCAATTCTCCATTTTTTAAGAAAGTTGTTTCTATTGAGGCAATTGCTACTTTTCCCCCTTCTGGAGCTGTGGAAAGTCACTGTGTGGAACTTTTCAGTAAATCCCTTGCGCACACAGCTTTTTGCAAACCACTAATTTAAAATACTAGTAGCTGCGGGTCTTTAGAGTCTGACAATGATCTCCATTCTGAAAGTACATTAAAGGGATCCGAGATTGCAGTCACTACAATGTGGCAACACAAATCCCCTGAAGAAACCATCACAGCATCTGCAGCAAAGCCACCCCTTGGTGGAATCGGAAAACAAGTCCCTCCAACATCTGCTATTTACAAGGAAAAAACAATGATATTTTTCATTGGACACACTGTACAGCTTTAATTCTGGTAGAGCTTTCCTTATAAATGAAAAAATAAATCCTACCATTCCTCTTCCTGCAAACCAGATCAGAGGGGTGTGTGTGTGTGAACCCACATTCCCCACACCCTTTGGAGAGAGTCCAGCATCTGTACAGACTAGTATTTAGCTTCTTAAAAGCCTGATTCTCATTTACACTAAGAGTTTGTCTACTCAGGGAAAAAGCTTGGACTAGCTAGTGCAGAACAGCTAGAGGGGAATAACTACTCCACATTAGCACCCCATGTGGACACTTATTTTGCATTAAGAGTTCCTTTGTGCAGTTTAGGTTAGTCCCCTCTGGAAGCAGATTAACCTAAATGGCAAAAAAATGGGGAGTTGGTGGGAAACAGCTATTGCCCTTTGAATTCACACCCTGGCTATTTTGTACTAATTTTCCCATTAATTCTCCATGTAGACAAGCCCTAAGGTCTCCATACTCACTTCTCTGGCCGTGTAAGAGGCCATCAGAGTGGGTGTAACTGTAATTTATTCCAACTTCAAGATCTCTTTACACTGTCAGAGTGGTGCTAGCAGCCTAAGTATAAATGAGAATCAGTCCCCTTCAGTGTAATGTGGGTGTGTTCACTTCTTGTAGGAATGGGGAGTTATTTTGCTTTGGTACCTACTTCTAATTATTTCCAGTCAGGCCACCTCATTCTCCTTCTCTTATTTCTCACAAGCCTTTCATATATTTACTTTCAGGGCTAATTACACAGGCACCAAAGTTTGCTTTGATACGTGGCATTATTATCATCGTCCATCTAGTTATTAGATTAACCTAAATACCCACACCCCTAATACACACACACACACACACTTCCCACATAAAATATCCCCAATCAGAATACAATTATTCTTCATATAATGTTCTGAAAGAGTTTGGTGGCAAAGATTATGGTGCAGTTGAGTCACATCCTCAGTTTCATACACATCTGCAGGAAATTGTTCCATAAGAAACCTGCTCCAGAACAGGATTCAAAGTTTTAAGGTTTGATATGTAAAGAGATTCAGGAGGGTTATGTGGATGTTATACTGTTATTATTCTGTCTCATTTGCATTCAGGTAGTGCCCACAACTCCCAAACAGGATCATGGCTCCACATTGTTAGGTGCTGTACAAATGGTAAGAGACAATTTCTGCCCCAAAGATCTTACAATTTAAGGGTTTGTCTACACTGCAATCAGGGTGTGTGTGTGTGATTGTGGCATGTGCAGACACACCCATGCTAGCTTTAATCTAGGCAACTCACACCCTGATAGCAGTGAAGCCCTGGCAGCACAAACATCAGCACAAGCAAGCCACCCTAATAGCTACCCAGGGTTTCAGGCTGGCTTGTACAGTTTGCACTGAAGTTTGTGCTGTTACAGCTTCACTGCCATAGGTGCCCACGTTAGGCAGATTAAAGCTAGCTCAGGTATGTCTACATGGGCTACAATCACAACCCCACTTCCACTGCAGTACAGACATATCCTCAGACCTTGAATTGGGGCTTAAAAGGACAAGGAACCACGGGAGTGGGATACCATATAGAAGCAAAGTAGTCAGGGTGATAAGAGGCCTATGGCATATCAGAGTCTTTTGCTTGATCCTTCCTGTAAAAGGAGCAACACAGGAAGGGTGGGGCACAGGGAAGCAGTTAAAATGTATACAGGAAAACCTCGACTTTACGACTTTGAGTTACGACGAACGGCACTTACGACGCTTCTACATTGACACCCTGACTCGACTTACGACTACAGGTTTCACATTTACGATGCTCAGTCCCGCAATGGAGTAGACTGCGGGTTCAAGTTGCTACTTATGAAGCAATTGTAAGGAACCATTTGTGTTGTAAGTTGGAGGACTGCCTGTATACAAATGAGGCATCTTACTATTTGAGTTTATACCATTGTACTACAAAATTCAGTCCTCTGATATGGATTATAAAGTGGATTGTTTTCTATTAGGTTCCTGTAAGTATGGGAGTATAGTGATGCGTGTTAACAGCACCATTATCAACAGCAATCATATTATTGTGACTGCATTTTAGTATGGCCATGGGGCATAACTTCTAATAGACATAAATGTTTCATGGCACCACACATGATTCCACAGGGCTTGATCTTGCGCTGGACACAAAATGAAATTAACACCCGTCTCCAACTATGGCATGCTCACTCCTTTGTAATGCAAAAGCAATTCTGACCCCGAAAGTTGAAAAGGTTATCATTGTACAGAAGACTGCTTCAAGTATGTGCCGATAAACACTGTGCCAAGGTTAGAGAATTCCTTAGCCTGCTTGTGTGCCTGGCCTGTTAGAACAGCTGGAAAGCAAAATCACAGCTCCCATTTTAACTGTGGTTTGCCTATTAGTTATTAATCTATTTTTCCAGAAAGTCAGGTGTGGAAAATGACATATTAATACTAATCTGGCAGGATTACACTGGAATTATTAGAACTAGATGACGTCTTAATAAAAGGTCATTTCGGTAATAGAAGGGCAAAAAAGATAACCTACAAAAATAAATACAGGAAGACTAAATTAAGACTCGAGCTAAACTGGTTCTATGGTAACAAGAATATGCAAATAAAAACATCCGAGCTGTTCTAAAACAGGAAATGAAAAACTGCAACATAACAGAAACATTTCCCAGAGCAGACATTCAGGCTCTGTGCCAGCACTTTACAAACACTGTTAATAACGGTGCCGTAGCTGTTCAGTAAGGAAGCAGCTGTGAAGAGAACGTTACAGGAAGGCACAAGATCAGCAAATTATATTTTTTTAAAATAATTTTGCTTACAAAAACGTGTTGTCCTTTGAAGCAAAAAATTATCTTATTTTTATACTTGCAATTAAATTAATCAGAATAGTTCTCTCTTAAGTAGGGATTTTGGGGTGAGATTTTTTAAAGGTATTTCATCTAGGGAGCTAAGAGTTTAAGCGGTTAACAGTTAAACTCCTCCAGGGGTCCCTGCTGCTGCCACACCTGGGGCTCTGCTGCCATCCACCATCCTGGCATCCGTGTGCACCCGGCATCTCGGCTGCTGTCCTGTGCCAGTGCTCTGCTGCTGCCCAGCATCCCGGCGCGCTTGGGGTCACTCCAGGCTGCCAGCCCCACAGCTGGGATGCCGGGCGGCAGCAGAGCCCCAGGCTAGCCCCACAGAAAATATTTCAACTGTTATAGCAGAAATAAGGGAGAGACAAGACAGAACTCGGGGTGGGCGGTGTGTGGAGAAATCAAATCAGTATCTTAGATGTCTGTATACTAGTGCGAGAAGTACGGGGAATAAGCAGGAAGAACTCGAAATGCGAGTAAATAAACACAACTATGACATAGTTGGCATCACGGAGACTTGGTGGGATAATACGCATGTCCGGAATATTGGTATAGCAGGGTACAGCTTGCTCAGGAAGGACAGGCAGGGAAAAAAGGGAGGAGGTGTTGCCTTATATATTAAAAATGTACACACTTGGACTGAGGTTGAGATAGAAATAAGAGACAGACTTGTTGAAAGTCTCTGGGTAAGAATAAAAGGGGTAAAAAATAAGGATGATGTCATGGTAGGGGTCTACTACAGACCACTTAGCCAGGAAGAAGAGGTGGATGAGTCTTTTTTTAAACAATTAATAAAATTATCCAAAGCACAGGACTTGGTGGGGGTGGGGGACTTCAACTACCCAGACATCTGCTGGGAAAATAACACAGCAGGGCACAGACTATCCAACAAGTTCTTGGAATGTACTGGAGACAATTTTTTATTTCAGAAGGTGGAGAAAGCTACTAGGGGAGAGGCTGTTCTAGATTTGATTTTGACAAATAGGGAGGAACTGGCTGAGAATTTGAAAGTGGAAGGCAACTTGGGTAAAAGTGATCATGAAATGGTAGAGTTCAGGATTCTAAGGAATGGTGGGAGGGAGAACAGCACAATAAAGACAATGGATTTCAAGAAGGCAGACTTTAGCAAACCCAGGGAGTTGGCAGGTAAAATCCCATGGGAAGCAAGTCTAAGGGGAAAACAATTGAAGACAGTTGGCAGTTTTTCAAAGAGACATTATTAAGGGCACAAGAGCAAAACTATCTCACTGCATAGGAAAGATAGGAAATATGGCAAGAGGCCACCCTGGCTTAACCAGGAGACCCTCAATGATATGAAACTCAAAAAAGAGTCCTACAAAGAGTGGAAACTCGGTCAAAGGATGAATATAAACAAATAACACAAGTATGTAGGGACAAAATTAGAAAAGCCAAGGCACAAAATGGGATCAAACTAGCTAGGGATATAAAAGGAAACAAGAAAACATTCTACAAATACATTAGAAGCAAGAGGAAGACCAAGGACAGAGTAGGCCCATTACTCAATGAGAGGGGAAAGACAATAACGGAGAATGTGGAAATGGCAGAGGTGCTTAATGACTTCTTTGTTTCAGTTTCCACCAAGAAGGTTGATGGAGACTGGACGTCTAACATAGTGAATGCCAGTGAAAATGAGGTAGAAACAGAGTCTAAAATAGGGAAAGAACAAGTCAAAAATTACTTAGACAAGTTAGATGTCCTCAAATCACCAGGGCCTGATGAAATGCGTCCTAGACTACTCAAAGAACTGACTGAGGAGATATCTGAGCCATTAGCAATTATCTTTGAAAAGTCATGGAAGACAGGAGACATTCCAGAAGACTGGAAAAGGGCAAATATAGTGTCAGTCTATAAAAAGGGAAATAAGGACAACCTGGGGAATTACAGACTAGTCAGCTTAACTTCTTACCCGGAAAGATAATGGAGCAAATAATTAAGCAATCAATTTGCAAACACCTAGAAGATAATAAGGTGATAAATAACAGTCAGCATGGATTTGTCAAGAACAAATTGTGTCAAACCAACCTGACAGTTTTCTTTGACAGGGTAACAAGCCTTGTGGATAGGGGGGAAGTGGTAGATGTGGTATATCTTGACTTTAGTAAGGCTTTTGATAGTGTGTCGCATGACCTTCCCATAAACAAACTACGGAAATACAACCTAGATGGAGCTACTATAAGATGGGTGCATAATTGGTTGGAAAATCGTTCCCAGAGAGTAGTTATCAGTGGTTCACAGTCATGCTGGAAGTGCATAAAGAGTGGGGTCCTGCAGGGATTGGTTCTGGGTCTAGTTCTGTTCAATATCTTCATCAATGATTTAGAAAACGGCATAGAGAGTAAACTTATAAAGTTTGTGGATGATACCAAGCTCGGAGGGGTTGCAAGTGCTTTGGAGGATAGGATTAAAATTCAAAATGATCTGGACAAACTGGAGAAATGGTCTGAAGTAAATAGGATGAAATTCAATAAGGACAAATGCAAAGTACTCCACTTAGGAAGGAACAATCAGCTGCACACATACAAAATGGAAAATAACTGCCTAGGAAGGAATACTGTGGAAAGGGATCTGGGGGGTCATAGTAGATCACAAGCTAAATATGAGTCAACAGTGTAACTGTTGCAAAAAAAAGCAAACATCATTCTGGGATGTATTAGCAGGAGTGCTGTAAGCAAGACACGAGAAGTAATTCTTCTGCTCTACTCCGTGATGATTAGGGCTCAACTGGAGTATTGTGTCCAGTTCTGGGTGCCACAATTCAGGAAAGATGTGGACAAATTGGAGAAAGTCCAGAGAAGAGCAACAAAAATGACTAAAGGTCTAGAAAACATGACCTATGAGGGAAGATTGAAAAAATTGGGTTTGTTTAGTCTGGAGAAGAGAAGACTGAGAGAGGGAGGGATAGCTTTGTGGTTTGAGCATTGGCCTGCTAAACCCAGGATTGTGAGTTCAATCCTTGAGGGGGCCATTTAGGGATCTGGGGCAAAAATTGGGGATTGGCCCTGCTTTGAGCAGGGGGTTGGACTAGATGACCTCCTGAGGTCCCTTCCAACCCTGATATTCTATGAGAGGGGACATGATAACAGTTTTCAAGTACATAAAAGGTTGTTACAAGGAGGAGGGAGAAAAATTGTCCTTCTTAACCTCTGCAGATAGGAAAATAAGCAATGGGCTTAAATTGCAGCAAGGGTGGTTTAGGTTGGACATGAGAAAAATCTTCCTAACTGTCAGGGTGGTTAAGCAGTGGAATAAATTGCCTAGGGAGGTTGTGGAATCTCCATCATTGGGGATTTTTAAGAGCAGGTTGGAAAAACACCTGTCAACGATGGTCTAGCTAATACTTAGTCCTGCCTTGAGTGCAGTGGACTTGACTAGGTGACCTCTCAAGGTCCCTTCCAGTTCTATGATTCTAAAATGTGGGGGTGCTGCACCCCTAGTTCCCCAGGTAAACGTTTAACCGTGTAACCGATAGAATTTTAATCGGTTAGACAATTACTGTTTACACATTATTTAAATCCCTAATTTCATGAACTAAAGATGCAGAAGAGTGTCTCTAGGGGGATTTTCAAAAGGGATGAGCACCTAGCTCATATTAATTTCTAGTGCCTCAGTACTTAAATACCTTTAAAATGTGGCACTTCACTCATTTGCCTCAAAATGCTTTAGAAATCACAGAAGAATCATGATGCCCATTTTACTGCAGGGGGAAACTGAGGCACACAGCGATACTTGATTTGTCCAAGATCACACAGGAGTTCAATGGCAGAGCTAGAAATCTAGAATCCACATCTCAGTTTAGTGCCCCAGCCAATGGACTATAGCCACAGCTTTGCTAATCCTTTAATAGGTGCTGCACTGGAGAAACTGATTTTCGGTGGTGTTTCCTTAATGATATTACTGTATACTTTGGCTTCTAACTGATTTGGAAGAAAACACGGAAATAGTTTTATAGAAATAGGAAAAACAATCTTTGAGTGCCTTTAAGAAAGAAGCCGGTAAAGACTGTAATAACACAACACTAACTGGCAATTCTATAGCCCTCTTTCATTCTCCCTCATGGAGATAAACAATTAATTGAGTCCCACAACACTTCGCGGAGATAAATAACATCACCCCTAAAAATGAAAAAGTGAGGTTCAGAAAAGTAAGGGACAGATTCTGCCTCCCACACCAACGTTGGGTAGCACCTCACTCCACAGGTAACATCTTCAGCGTCCCCATCTCCCTGTACATACAGCAATCTACATCAACAGGTCTCTTTGCAGAGTCAGGTATTCTGCAGCGCAAGTACGGGGGGGGCAGCAATTGTTCCCAAATGATGTGTCAAGCCTAGGGCATGGAGTTTGTAGATAACGGAGGGCATCGTATTAGAGAGGCATCCAAAAGAAATTTGATACTCTTAAAAAGTTTCTGCTGTGTTTAACAATGTCTGAGCGATCTTCCGGTCAGAAAATGAATGATGTCATAATAAATGGGTTCATATTTACAGTGACCCTAACCCTGACTGACCTTTTGGATTCTTCTTCCGACAAGCTTAGTGGGCGGCAGCAGCACTCTAGCAATATGCTGAAGGCCACAGATGTTTTCTTACCTGTAATAACAGTCGCTCATCCCCTATGACGGCAGCTTGGTTCCAATCAATCACTTCGGAAAATGGCAACTCCCATCCATTGCTAAGCATAACTGGGACACAGGCAGCCTGCAGAGAGAGGAATTGCAGGCATTAGAAGAGGCACTGAGTGTGTGGTCATTGATTAGCACAAACTTTGAAGTGCATACAAATTGAATTATTGGCATTTTCTGCAGGAGTCAGGACCCAAGCTCTCATGAAAGACATTAAAAAAGAAAACCGGCAAAGAGCCCTACAAGGCAGACATAACAATACATCTGCCAAGATTCCAGCTGATCTCCACTCTCCAAACAGGCTCCACATTTGTTTGCATGAAGGGAAACCCTGATTTTGCATGTACAAAGGAGAATTTACACTCGGATGTAGATGTTTTGTGAAACAACTACAGAGTTCTCTAGGGAGGTAATTCTCTATTAAATTACATAAGATGGTTTAAGAAAAACCCTTTGAAAATGTATTTGATATTTAACTCTATAACTCTTTTCCATAAGGCTAGATGTTTAGTTATCCACTTTGTACATCGTAGTACACGTTCTGTGCTTGCAAACAACTGCACATACAAAACCTAGCCACAGTCAGAGAGACCAGTTTGGAAAATTTAATCCATTGACTTTATGTTTAAATATATACATATATCACTCATTTATCACCAACTTTTGTTCTGCCAGTATGTCAATATACTATGTGCTATTGTTAAAATGTAAACTCTTTGGGGCACCAACCATAATTGTGTAATGTTTAGTAAACACTACATTACTGGTTCTGTATAAGTAAATAAATAAATTCACCGCCACCTATTCGTCAATCGGACCAGAACTTGAGACCTGATTCAAAGTCTGTTGAAGTCAGTGGAAAGGCTCGCACTGAGTTCAGTGGGATTTGGATCAGGTCATTGCTGTGGTGGTTCAGTTTCTTCTAGACCAAGCCAGATTTAACTGGTCTGAATTATTGCCCAGACAGTACAATAAATGAGCTGGTCTTTCCCATGCCCAGTAATAAGTGGAACACTGGGGAAGTTTTCTAATTGCAGTACATTCTCTCTCTCTTTCTTGCTCTCTAATTCTGTGCAGTAACTTTGATCTAGTCAAGTCTATGCTACAGTAGTATTTGCAATGGGTAAAGATTATGTCCGTTGGTAAGAAAACCACATTACACTGTCTAAAACCCACCCAACACAACAACAATTTGCAGAGTTTTCATCTTCAGAATTCTTCACAGACCATTGATTAAGCCTCACAACTTCCCTGGGAAGTAGGTATAGAGTGGGAATACCAGAGAAAAAGGGTGATGTGACCCTAGGTGAAGTAACACAGGTAGTCAGTATCTTAGTAAAGACCAGAAGGTAGGAGTTGTTGACTCTTACTGCAGTGCTTAGGGGAGGGGAAACAGGAGAGAAGTGACTTTGGCAGGGGGAGACAGAGTGGCTCAGTGGGAGAGGTAGGAATAGAACCCTCATTACCTAACACCTGCTGCAGTGTTCTATCTACTGAACCACACTGCCTGTCACAGGATTTTCAGACCTTGTGCCTTTGCTCTCCATTGCTAGCCAAACAAAAGAGAGCATCTTGCTGACTGAAAGATTTCAAAAGGTGAAGAGAAGTTGGGGAGTCCTGCCTCTGACACAGTACAGAAGACTATTTTAAACACACAGACAGCAGCCGGTTTGAATGTCCTTCTTGCTGCATTACTTTCAGATGGGAAGTAGCAGAACAGAACCATCATCTGCACATTAAGGATGCAGCCCAGCAAACAACGTGTAGGCAAGTTTGCTTCAGCTGAAAACAATAAGCTATGTTTATTGCTCCAGGTCTTGCTAGAACAGGTCAAGGTCTCCCCTGGGAATCCAGATTCAGTTGGGCAAACAGCGCTCTAAACGAATCCAACTTTGCCTCCTCTACAATGAGCAGGGAAACCCTCTTCATGAAGGCAATGCAATTCAGCCTTCAGGTGAGCTCAGTGCCGAGCCCCTCCTGTGAAGAAGCTGCCAATTGCTTCATAAGCATGACTAGAGGCTTCCACAGTGTGGATTATTGCCCACTAGGGAAATTAAACACAAACCCAAACACCACCTCTTGATATCACCAGCTGAATTCCAACCAGCACTGTCAATGTTTTAATTCCCAGCTCTTACCTGCAGAGCCTCCAGAAACCTGAAGGATCCAAGCCTGCGGCCACGGGGAACCAGACAGAAAGTGGCATTGTGCAGCATTTCACGATAATCATACCTAACAGGAACAGGGTGGTGATGGAGGGAGATAAGAAAGAGAAAATCAAATTAACGATGAGTCTTAGAGTAAATGTGCATGAAAATGCAAATATCTGCTGATATACATCTGGATAAAATCATCTCCAATCAAGTCCATGTCCGTACGCTCACCATCAGGTTACACATTTCTCTCTGTGTCTTTTTCTTCCTCTCCTCCACTTCTCCCTCCCACCTCTTTTTTGTTTGTAACAGAAAGGCAATCAATGTGGTTAACAGAGAATAGACAAAAGGGATTTTGCCTTTGGAATCATCAATTTTGTTATTATGAATATACATATGGTGTTTTTTACTGCTGAAATATCTTTGGGGGAGCTCTGAGTTTGAAAGGAAAATACAGACAATTAAGACCAACTGTCTTCACGAAAACAGGGTTTCAAGCCTGTACACATAGTGAACCAGATTTATTTACAAACAAGCATTAATTTGTTCACCTCTGAGCAAGACGTTTGTAAAAACAGCCCAGAATATTGAGCTATACCATACAAATCTTTCCTAATCAATCAGGAAATAATAATGAAGGGTCATCAGTTGTTATTGGAGGGGGGGAGGAGGGAGGTGGGTGGAGGAGGAAGGGAAATTAGCTGAAGAAAAAAAGCACAGAAACAAATTCTGATAATTAACCATAGAGCTGCAATGACCTCTGATCCTCAAAATTAAAGCTTTAAGCTCGATACTACTGTTTTTGTTCCAATTCCATCAATCACCTCAAAACCATTTACCAAAAACACACATCAAATCCTAACAGTTTCAAGCCAGTTATTAGCTAATTGTACTTCTGTATTAATGGAAACCTATGGAACTGTAAATGGAGCTGACCCTGCAGCCTGCTGGGTCTGAGACAAAAGGATCAAGATTAAATACCCCTCATTTCTCAAGATGTTACCGGCACTCTGGAGACAGGTGCTACTTTGACAGTAGCTACTTTGACAGTAACATGCAGCACTGAAATTTTCTAACTCTAATAATCTAATTTAATCATAGCCTGCAGGCACAGAATTTTTTTTGTATGTATATAAATAGAAGATGAATATGTATGTGTGTGTGCGCGTATATACACACACACATACACAGATCTACTTTTATATTCTCACACAGGGCAGGCAGATGGGAGTAAGCCAATTTTCAATTATAAACCCTGTCATTAGGAAGAGATCTTCCGAAGGCCCATTTGCTTAAACAAGCGTGTACAGCTAATTTGCACAAGAAAAGGTCGATGTGAATGGATTAAGATTATCTCCACTGAGAGTAAAATAAAAACTCTTATTGCATTAATTAAATCTACAAAACAGACTTCAAAGTGGACATTTTTTTTAAACAGGTCGCAAGTTTGGTTATATATTTTCCCACTGAGTGGCAGCAATTTCTTTTTCTCAGCACAGAATATTGATTGGCAACTAAGTCCCAGCTCAACAGCCTGCAGTGATGCAGCACATGGAGGAAACGGTTAGAAAGCTGGAAAAAAAAGATGCCATATTTAAAATGTTCATTTTTCACATGGTGCGAAGTCTAACACTCATCACTGTCAGTATATATTGTACGACAGGAAAGTTTAATAAATACCAAAAATAGAATCCCCTGTAGGGTTGGAATACTTCACTCATTTGTCCCCATCATTAGCTAGCTAAAACTTTAAAATCCTGTTAATACCCTGGACTGTACAAGCACGCAAAACGTCAGCTGCAAAATCACAACAGAAAAGAGAGAAGGAAATGAGAAGAGTAAAAGTGAGGAGAGGCCTCAACAGGCCAGCAATTTTCACACTGTGCACCTTTTTTTTTTTTTATAACTGATTAGTTGATATGAGGGAAGATTTTCAAAGGCACAAAGTGGAGTTAGATTCCCATCTCCAAGTCAATAGGTGCCATTTGTGCTTTTTATCATCTCCCCTGTAATTAATTGCTCATCTCATGAACAGCCTGGCCATATACGCATAGAAGACCTTATCCTAACCTTCAAGTATGTATTTCCATTCACTTCAAGCGGTACTCCACAAACGTAACATGGGCAGAACCACAGTATGGTAACATACCCATCAATGACAGGTTTCAGAGGAACAGCCGTGTTAGTCTGTATTCGCAAAAAGAAAAGGAGTACTTGTGGCACCTTAGAGACTAACCAATTTATTTGAGCATGAGCTTTCGTGAGCTACAGCTCACTTCATCAGATGTTTACCGTGGAAACTGCAGCAGACTTTATATACACACAGAGAATATGAAAGAATACCTCCTCCCACCCCACTGTCCTGCTGGTAATAGCTTATCTAAAATGATCAACAGGTGGGCCATTTCCAGCACAAATCCAGGTTTTCTCACCCTCCACCCCCCCACACAAATTCACTCTCCTGCTGGTGCTAGCCCATCCAAAGTGACAACTCTTTACATAATCAAGTCGGGCTATTTCCTGCATAGATCAAGGTTTTCTCACATCCCCCCCACCCCCATACACACACAAACTCACTCTCCTGCTGGTAATAGCTCATCTAAACTGACCACTCTCCAAGTTTAAATCCAAGAATTATAACATTCATAAACCAGTCGGAGAACACTTCAATCTCTCTGGTCACGCAATCACAGACATGAAGGTCGCTATCTTAAAACAAAAAAACTTCAAATCCAGACTCCAGCGAGAAACTGCTGAATTGGAATTCATTTGCAAATTGGATACTATTAATTTAGGCTTAAATAGAGACTGGGAGTGGCTAAGTCATTATGCAAGGTAGCCTGTTTCCTCTTGTTTTTCCTACCCCCCCCCCCCAGATGTTCTGGTTTAACTTGGATTTAAACTTGGAGAGTGGTCAGTTTAGATGAGCTATTACCAGCAGGAGAGTGAGTTTGTGTGTGTATGGGGGTGGAGGGGATGTGAGAAAACCTTGATCTATGCAGGAAATAGCCCGACTTGATTATGTAAAGAGTTGTCACTTTGGATGGGCTAGCACCAGCAGGAGAGTGAATTTGTGTGGGGGGGTGGAGGGTGAGAAAACCTGGATTTGTGCTGGAAATGGCCCACCTGTTGATCATTTTAGATAAGCTATTACCAGCAGGACAGTGGGGTGGGAGGAGGTATTGTTTCATATTCTCTGTGTGTATATAAAGTCTGCTGCAGTTTCCACGGTAAACATCTGATGAAGTGAGCTGTAGCTCACGAAAGCTCATGCTCAAATAAATTGGTTAGTCTCTAAGGTGCCACAAGTACTCCTTTTCTTTTTGCGAATACCCATCAATGAGATTCATGCTACAGTTAATGAATTGCACTAGAGATTCTTTTCATGACTAAATTTCACTTGGATTTCAACTTCAGTGTTCTAAGGTGACTCAATATGGTCCTTCATAGCAGCAGGAAAGGAATGATTTCTAATTTAATCCACATCAGATAACACCCTGGGATTAAGAATCTATTTCTTTGAAATCCTCAGACACGGTGAATTAAATTTTGCCATCATTTATTCCTGTGAAATGTTGAAGACAATGTAGATACACAAATTTCACTGAATGCAAACTGCAGCCCACGATCTTTTAACAAAATTGTACATAATACAGCTTAACACATAATGTCTATGTAGAGATCACACACAAAGTATATTTGAAAATCTGAGACATCATTACAGTATGAATGTTTTAGAAGTCCCCTATACAAAAGTAGTGCTTATCTGTGGACTACAGCAGAGATCATTTCATGTATTATTTTTCTTCATGCTGTTATGTACTTCTGAAGAAAACGAGAGTCACAAAAGTGTTATAAAATAAGGTAAATTTACCTACAGTTCATAGATGAACAAAAAGCTTCTGGTAAACTGCGAAGTACTGCTAGAAATGTTAGGTGCAGGTTCAGAAACTGAGAGGGAATAAAACCAGCAGTAACAACCACCACGAAAGAATTAATATACGAATGTGACCAACACCTGGCACCGAGAATGTGCTTAGTAGGAATTCTGACACACATACTTATTGGTCTTCTGAAACTATTTGAAAGTGTGAGGTGATTATGCTAGAAGAACCCTTTCATTGGGTCCCTTTCTGCATGATATGGACTCGGAGTCATTGTCTCTTACACAGCAAAAACTCAGACACCTAGCCATAGAACAGACTACAAAACAACAGGCGTCAAAAAATTTCCACTGGAGAGGGTGGAGCTGAGGAGCGACAGAAAAACAAAAGGACTTCAGTTTCAGGCACTTACATAGACCTTTCTTTTCTATGAGACATGGTAGAAAATGGAAACCCTGCACAGGATTTAAAATGTTGTTTAGCAGGGGAGGGAAAAGTATTCTTTCACCTTGCCAGGGAGGAGATGAAGTAGCATTTTATCACCTGAGAATCTCAGGGGCCACAACTGAAAGCACTCACACACTTAATTTTAAGCTTGTGAACAGTCACATTAAAGTCAACGCAATTACTCATATGCTTAAAGTGAAGTATACACGTAAGTGCTTGCAGTTCTGGGACTGTAAATTCTGTAAGGTCTAGGTTTGCTAGGAAAAACTATTTCACTTGGAGGATGGTGAAGCACTGGAATGGGTTAACTAGAAAGGTGGTGGAATCTCAATCCTTACAGGTTTTTAAGGCCCAGCTTGACAAAGCCCTGGCTGGGATGATTTAGTTGGGATTAGTCCTGCTTTGAGCAGGGGTTGGACTAGAGGACCTCCTGAGGTCTCTTCCAATCCTAATCTTCTATGACTCTATCACACTCCCTTCTGACCGGGGTATGTCTTGGCTGAACAAGTTCCCTGCCTTCACTATGTTCTCCCAAGCAAAGAGAGGTTGCCCAAGCACACCTGCTTGCTTTCTCTTCAGAGATGGTTAACGGGTGTAATTGCTACAGTTATAAGGTACCAAACAGCTCTTTCTAACTAAGCGTACTTTAATAAGTTTATCACACATCACCGCAACTCTAACATGGGCTCTGGAAGGAGCTGTCCTTCAACCCTCCACCCAAGGAAATTCCTTGTGGTTACAAGTTAAT